AACACTTTTCGCTGTGTTATTCGGGGTCGTGAGAATGTGATCTCTCTTAAGGAGTTTCGATCTCAGTTGCTTGCTGAAGAGGTCATTGTTGAAACCTCCACAACTGCACCTTTTATCACTGCCATGGTTGCTAATATTATCCCTCATTCTGGCAAGAATCACTCACCTAATCTTGCATCTGGGCAGTCTCAATTCTTTTCTGGAGGATACAAGCAGTTTAATGGGAATAAAAACAAAGGGAAAGGCAAGTTTCATCAAGGGGCTCGGTTCTATTCATCCAAATAGTATACTCAAACCCATGTGCTCCCTACACCAAGTCCAGGCATACTTGGTCAATCACCAGTACCATATTTGGTCATCCAAGTGAACCATTGCTGCCTACTTGTCAAACGTGTAATGTTGAAGGACACACTGCTCCATATTGCCAGTCTAAACCTCATGATAAAGCTCCATGTCAAATATGTGGCAAGCACAATCACAGCACATGGTACTATTTTTTCAATGACAAGGGTCCTAATTTTGGTGGTCCTACCCGACAGTTCTATCCTTCTCAAGTGCAACCATCCACATATGGTGCTCCAAGCTATAATGCTCCATTTCAGCATTCATCAATGCAATCTCAACCTTTTCATCCTCATCAACAATCTCCATAAGCACTACATACTGTGATGACTCAGTCACCATCTTCACCGTCTACTTCTTCTAATCCTCAAGTGTGGATCACTAACTCTAGAGCCACTAATCACATGACTGTTGATCTCAGTAACCTATCTTTGGCATCGCCATATCCTACATCTGAGACCATTCAAACTGCCAATGGTGAAGGTTTGCCTGTGTCTCATATTGGTAGCACAGTTCTCAATGTTTCCAAACTGAATTATGTGCATCCGATTAAGCTCAATTACATGCTTTATGTTCCGAAGTTGACCCAAAACTTGTTATCTGTGCATCGCATCTATTTAGATAATAACTGCTGGCTAATTTTTTATGCTTTCTGCTTCTGGATTCCGGACAAGGCCACATGGAGGATCATTTACAAGGGAAAATGCAGTAATGGCCTCTATCCCATCCCTTGTCTTTCTGCCACATCTCATTCTACACATTCAGCTCCATTTCAAGCTAAAGCATTCCTTGGTCAGCATGTTCATTCTACAACCTGGCATAACAGACTAGGTCACCCATCTAATAACATTGGTTCTTTGATGCTAAAGCAAGCTAATATCCCTTGTTCCAAGTCTTCATTACCTGGAATCATGGTCTAAAATATCCATAATATCCCGATATTTCCATCGAAATTTTCGTGTTTTTGGACTACCGATATTTTTTTGGACTACGGATATTTCCGATATCATCGATATTTTAGACCTTACTAAGTCACTCATGTATCTTACCATGCAATGTATAAAGTGTAAAATATTGTACTAATTCATTATATATAAATGATTATGGTGTGTTTAAACTTCAACTTCTTTCATTAATTACTACATATTTTCTACACTCACAATGTTTGCCAGCTCGCTATATAATCAACTTAAATCAGTTATATCTATCATGCAATGCATTTCCTTCCAATTTTTTGTGATAAACTAATAGATAATTGACTAAATAAACATCTTGCAAAGTTTCAATAAAATTTCCAAGTTTTTCTTACAATTTCCGTGGTTTTTATTCAATTTTTATCGATATCGATAATATCCCGATATTTCCATCGAAATTTCCGTGTTTTTGGACTACCGATATTTCCGATATCATCGATATTTAATACATTGCCTGTAATGTGCTCTAGCTTTTTGGAGGGCAAGTTTTGTAAACTTCCCTTTTCCCTAAGTACCAATAAGTATGTAAAACCTTTTGCTGTTATTCATAGTGATCTTTGGGGTCCAGCTCCTTCTATTTCCATTGATGGTTACAGATATTATGTGACCTTTATCGATGAATATACAAGACATTGTTGGTTGTTTCCATTGATCAACAAATCTGATGTCTTTGCTACTTTTGTTGCATTCTATTCATTTGTTCTTACTCAGTTTGCAACTGCTATTCAAACCTTACAGAGTGATGGAGGGGGTGAGTATGTTAGTAAGGCATTTCAGTCCTTTCTTCTTGATAAGGGTATTACTCATCAACTTTCTTGCCCACATACACCCGAGCAAAATGGTCTAGCCGAGCGAAAGCATAGGCATGTTATTGAAACCACTGTGACTCTATTACAAACAGTTAGGTTACTTGCTAGTTTTTGGTCATATGCTTGTCAAACAGCTGTCTACCTCATTAATCGAATGCCCTCTTCTGTGCTAGGACATAAATCTCCTTTTGAACTTTTGTTTGGTCATCTTCCTGTTATCTCTCATTTCCGAATTTTCGGTTGTGCATGCTATCCTTTGTTAAAGCCTTATAATGCTACTAAATTACAAGCCAAGACCACAAAGTGTATTTTTCTGGGTTATGCTACCAAATATAAAGGGTATATATGTTATGAGGTTTCTAAACAACGAGTTTATATTTCGAGACATGTTGTGTTTGATGAGGATCAATTTCCTTACACAACTTTGTTGGTCCACTCTAAAAACTCATATCAATCTTCTTCAGTTCCTACTTTCACCCTTCCCGCACCTGTGATTTCTAATGACAATGTTGTGTTACCTATGTCTCATTCATCCTCTCGATCACCATCATCTCATACCAATCCTGCCTCCTCATCCTCACCTTCTCCTTCTCTCATATCCATCTCTCCTATTCCTTCTTCACCCCTATCTTTTCCATCCATTACTGGTTCTTCCACTTCTCATTCTCCAATCCCTGTCCCTGTGGCACTTGTCCCTGGTTCTGATTCTTCTCTAGCAGCGTCCTTTGGTTCTGATACTTTGCAAGTGGTGTTGGAGGTTCCACCCCTCAATTTGCATCCTATGAAAACTCGGAGCAAAAGTGGTATTATCAAGACCAAAGCTTTATTAGCTACTATTCAGGAGTCTGACTGCACTGATTTGTCCCTTATTGAACCAACTTCTTATAAAACAGCAATGAAGGATCCTACTTGGTTGAAAGCTATGCAAGAGGAGATCAATGCTTTACATAAACAAGGTACTTGGAGTTTGGTGGTATTACCTTCTACAAAGAACTTGGTCGGTTGCAAATGGATATTCAAGATCAAGAAACATTCTGATGGCACTATTGCTCGCCATAAAGCTCGGCTTGTTGCTAAAGGGTTTAGTCAAGAACCGGGTCTTGATTATGGGGAAACCTTCAGTCCTGTGGTTAAACCTACCACGGTTCTGCTAGTATTGGCTTTGGCAGCTCAATTTAATTGGCCCCTTAGGCAACTAGATGTCAAGAATGCCTTTTTACATGGCATTTTGGATGAAGAGGTGTATATGACCCAGCCTCCTGGTTTTGCTGATGTCACTACTTCTCACCTTGTTTGCAAGTTGCACAAGTCCCTATATGGACTTAAGCAAGCCCCTCGAGCTTGGAATGACAGATTTACCAAGTTCTTGCCTCTTTTGGGTTTTCAACACACTTATTCTGACTCCTCCCTGTTTGTCAAGATAGTTGACTCTGGTATTGTCATCTTGCTGCTTTATGTGGACGATATTATTATCACAGGGAATGCAGCTGCAGCTATGCAACAGGTTATTAGTGCTTTAACCAAGGAATTTGATATCAAGGATCTGGGGGATCTGCATTTCTTTCTGGGCATTCAAATCTCTCGCACTGCACATGGCTTATGTTTGTCTCAATCCAAATATATTTTGGATATTCTACTAAAACTGAGATGCTTGAGTCCAAGTCATGTGAGACTCCCTGTTTGCCCTATAACCAGCTTCTCAAAGATGATGGTGCTCCTTATAACAATCCAACGTTGTACAGAAGTATAGTAGGTGCATTGCAGTACCTCACATTTACAAGGCCGGATATAGCATTTTTTGTCCATCAAGTATGTCAATTCATGCAACAGCCTATGATTGCTCATTTTCACTGCTGTCAAATGCATTATGAGGTACTTAAAGGGTACCATTCATCATGGCCTCTTTTATTCACAAGGACCACTCCAATTAAAAGCCTTTAGTGATGCTGATTGGGCAGGTGACCTTAATGATAGGCGTTCTACCACTGGCATGGCTGTGTTTTTAGGAAACAATCCTATATCCTGGTCATCAAAGAAACAATTGACAGTTTCTCGCTCATCCACAGAGGCTGAATATCGAGCCTTGTCCTCTACTTCCGCTGAATTAGACTGGATTCAGCAACTGTTAGTCTTTCTGCAGGTTCCTCTTACATCACCTCCGATTTTATTTTGTGATAATTTGTCCACCATTGCTTTGGCTTTTAATCCGGTTCAACATCAACGCACTAAGCACATAGAGGTTGATGTTCATTTTGTGCGTGAACGCGTTGCCAAGAAACAACTTTTTCTGTTCAGTTTGTGTCATCTAAAGAGCAGTTTGACTAATAAAGGGTTGAGTTCTCCTATGTTTCGTACTCACTGTACCAACCTCATGCTTCGAGCATCGAATCATGTGTTTGGGGGGGGGGGGGATGATAGAATAGAGATATTGGTGTATAAGATGTTGCCACTTGTAATTAGATTAGAGAAGAAGTTAGTTAAGGAAGTTAGCTATGTAAGTGTAATACTATAAATACCTCAACACTGTATTACTTGGTTGTTAAGAAAATATATCAGAGATATTCATCTTCTCTCTAAGTTCTTTCTCTCTCTCTCTCTCTCTCTCTCTAAGTCTGTTACATTCTTATTCTTCCTTACTGTATAAGATTGATCATAGTTAACACTGTTCATGGTTGCCATGCAATGTTGAAAAATATATAAGTTTACTGATCATGCATGTCGTAAATGTTTTAGGCTTTAAACATTCATAACTTAAACAAAGAAAATAAAATATCCATAACTTAAACATGAAATATCCGAAATCAAACATTCGTCCTAAATTAAAAAACAAATAATGTCTTGCTAAAGCAATAATGAAAACACTAGAAGTTGATAAAGTTCATCATACTAAAACCACAAATACTAAAACCCCAAATGCTTAAAGGCTCTCCATAAACACTTTAATGAACTCTGGCTTCTATGAGTCATCCAAGGTAGACCAAATACCCATCTGATCGGTATCTTTCACTAACTTCATTGAAATTCTTAGCACCTGATTGTATGGGAGCCCCATAGCCTGAAGCTCAGAAGGTAGTCTAGCTTTGGCTTCTCTAAAAGTAAAACTTTCACCTAATTTTTTTATTTCAGTAACAGCTTTATTCCAACCTTTACTAATAACAAATACAATATTTGCATCACCATCATTCCTACTTCTCTTCCTCTTTCTAACAGGTTAAGATGCACTAGATGTAACAACAGAAGGAGATGGGGTAGGTGAAGGTGGAGGCATCTCAGAAATCTCACAATCCTCACTTTCCAAACTCATATTCTCAATTGCATCTGTTGTTGATTCAGCCATACTACTCGTGACTCAGTCTCTCCCAAATACCATACATAATCGTAGATACAACGGGAATGGCTTATTTGGTTTGCAAGATGCATTAGGATATTTCTACAATAAGAACCCAAAGAAATCAAGGTTAAGACTTTCAAATAAACTAATTGATAAAAAAAATAAGAAACAAAATTTACCTTCTCCCACTTCTGTAGTATTTGTCACTATCCATAACACAATTTTTCTCATCATCCCAACCAAATCCAAATGTATTCATCATGTCATATGCAGATGAATACTTTTCTTTTAGACGCTTCAATTTGTTTTGATATGCTTCAGCTCTATATTAATGCCAGGAATATGTTCCCTCCTCTTGGAGGCAACCATTACAAAGTACTAGCCTTAAAACTGTTGGTCACACACCTAACACCATCAGCAACCATCTCCTCGAAGATGGTAAGCAGTACATCCTCCTCATGATCAATCCATTTACGTGAGGTAGCCATATAATCTATCAAAGAAGCCATATATTACATAAGTAACACAAATAAACATATTAGTAATTCATTCAACACTTAAATAATAGAACTCCCATATAAAAGGAGGAGAGATAAGCATATATGAGAACACCAAATAAAAGACACCAGGCTTTATCAGCCATAACATCCAAATAACTCCCAATTACCACATTACAATAACAAACATCTCAATAGTCTTAATGTTACGAATTTTCAAGCCAATTACGACAACTACATTGAGTCCACATCTCAATAAAAGACAATTACAACAACTACCATGTCAACCAATTTGCAAGCCCTCCTTCCTCTCCACTCATCATATATTTCTCTTGTAGGATCATCCCTCTATTGAGTCCATGTCTGGCTTGACTTAACGGTTTCAATGTAGGCTAATACTTATGGTAAATCTTCCCCTATAGGTAATTCATCAAATGCAAGCCTTGCATTTTCCTCAGGATCAACCGCCATATACATTTTGATAATTATGAAGTAAACTACATGCGGTGATCATTCGTCCCTGAATCTTGCCGAAACCAAACCGAAATTTTGGTTCGGTTTGGTTCAGTTCATTTTTTTCGGTTTTTTCCGGTTTGGTTTCGGTTCGGTTTTGGTTTTTTGTTTTGTTTTTTTTTTCAAAAAATGAAAAACATTGAAATTTAAAATTTTAACATCTCCAACACAATCATAACATAAAAATTCTAACTAGAATCAAAGACAATGAAAATAAACATTTAAAGTTGAACTAAAATCATCAATCAAGTCTTCCAAAGTCCAAACTAACAACCTCACAACACAAAAATCGTACAAATGACTTAGAAAAGTTAAATTGTATGATGTTGTTCAAAGATCAGGGTTGTTTGCTTGTAACTGCGTGTTGACAACTTGATTAGTAAAAGTAATGCGTGGGTGGATTTATTTAGTGTGTGTTGGATTCTTTTCCATCACAAATTACGCAAGTAATCTACCCGAAATAAATGTTTATGGATTCTGTTACATGTTATATGGGAGTAGATTTGGAAAAGAAAGCTGAGGCAGAACTAGACAGTGCTATGGAGATGGATGTAGGTACTTCAGGAGTAGGTTTGGTTCCGGAACCTTATATGGGGGAGAAATAATAGGTTAGGGTTTACAGTTTTTATAGGCATTTTTTTAATATTTTGAGCTTAAAGTTTCGCAACACATTGGGTTTAGCACATTTTAACTTACAAATTGGGTTTAGAAAATAATACCCAAAACAAATAATTAAATAAAAAAAGTAATTTAATTAATTCGGTTCGGTTCGGTTTGGTTCAGTTTCTAGATCACTAAAATCGAACTGAACCAAAATAATTCGGTTCGGTTCTGTTTTTTCAATTCGGTTCGGTTTTTTCATTCGGTTCGGGTTTTTCGGTTTGGTTTTCGGTTTTTTTTTGTTTTCGATTTTTTGAACCCACCCCTACTTCGTAAGATAGCCCAACGTCTTTTGAGGAGTCCAAAACATCTCTTAATGACATTTCTAGCACGTGAGTGTTTCACATTAAAATATTCTTCATGATTCTTAGGTGCACGTGAATTGTCTTCCCACTCTTGCAAATGGTATCTAGTGCCTCTATACGGTTCTAGAAAACCCTCACCGTTCGTATATCTGGAATCAACCAAATAATATGTACCTATATTAGTTGATAATAAATTTCAGTTGTTAGCCAACGAAGGTAAGGAAAAGTACTAGGTACTTGTCTATCTTACTAGTTGGGACCGTTCGTATATCCGAAATCAACCAAATAGTATGTACCTATATTAGTTGATAATAAATTTTAGTTGTTAGCCAACAAAGGTAAGGAAAAGTATTAGGTACTTGTCTTACCAGTTGGGACCTTGAGGCCATTAGCTCTAGTAACAACGTCACCAAGAACTTTCGAATCAGTAACTGATCCCTCCCAACCGGATAACACGTATACAAATTTGAGGACGTGTGTGCATACGCCTAACACATTAGTTGCTATATGACCCTTCCTTGTTCTATATCTTGGTTTATCGACATCAAGCACAGTGACCCCTATGTATGTTCCATCTAGCGTTCCTAAGCAACCCTAGACAAAAGAAAAACTTATATTAGCAACTACAAATAATTATGTTATTAATGATTTTACTATGATGTTTACCTTAAAGCATTTCCATTTCGATTCCGTGCAATCCTCTGAGATAGGGGTTGGTTTTGCAAACAACACATCTTGCAAACTGAGCAACACACGCAATACTCTGCGGACATACCGACTAATAGTTTCACCAAACCTAATGAATCTAACTTGCATTGACCTATTTTTATTGTGGTGGGCTAATATGTTAACAAAAGTAGCTACTTGCTACTCTATTGTAACCTGACCATCATCTACCAATCCACCATGAGTTTGTAGTAAATCACATAAAACTGCAAATGTATTCCTATCCATTCGCAGCTCCCACAAAAAGTTAGTATCATTCAATTGCGTGATACTCTGCGGACATACCGACTAATCGTTTAAACTGAGAGGGCACACTTTTGAAATTGTGCTCAATTCTGTGTATATTAAAAAAATTACTTCGAAAAAATAAGGGATGCATTAAATTGGATTTCACGTCCAGCTACATTGTAATTGTATGCAAGTAAATAGACCATTCTAACCATGACATAACCCTTCAATTTACAACTTAAATTGACAAATTCATTCTTCAAAGAACTGGTTTGATATTGTTGTGTTTTAATAATAAAAAAAAAAAACTGCTTCTGCCCGTAATAATAAGCTCATTTTTGCAATTTCACGTTTTCAATATTTTTTCATTCAAAACTGTGAAAATAAGTTGTTTTAAATGTTTACCAAACATATTATCGAGCTCAGCTTTTTATACTCAGTTTGTATAAAAACACCTCAATATCAAATCAGTACAAAATCATCCAGAAAAAAAAAATGTTAAAGTGACTTGGAATGTTTACACCAGGCGCGCAAACAAAATCTGAAAATGTATATTGTAAAAATACAAGATGCATATTTGGACAGCTTCATCTTCCTCAAAAGACTTGCATCTCATCCCAGACTTGATGTTGCTCACAAACGGGCTGTTTTTACCAAATAAAAAATCACAAATAAACACCAAATAAGAAGATAAATCAACAGAAAAAACAAAAATGGGAATAGGAATACCTCTTTATGGGAGTCCGGAGTCCACTTCGTATGTCTTAACTCCTATAAAAACCATGAACCCAAAACACATTAGTTGAGAAGAAAGTTAAAAATAAAATCTCAATGAAACTCAATCAGCGAATTATCTGATACGGTTCCAAAGAGAGATCTTCTTCCTTCACTTTTTGTTCTCTAACTGCCACAACCCAATTCGTCTCTGCTACACTTCTCCCTTAGATTTGCGACATGTGAGTCGTATCTGTGTAGAAGGTGGGGATTTGGGTGGAGATATTTGGCTGGTGAAGGAGGTGGAGGTTGGTATTGATAGATCTGTGGGGGTGAACATGGGAAGGGCGGCTTGCGGTGTTGGGGGAAGGTGATGGGGGAGAAGATAGGAGACCAATTTGGGGGAAGGTGACGTAGGAGAAGAGGAGGAGCAGAAATGGATTTGAGAGAGTCTGCAGGTAGAGAAGGAAAGAGCGAGAAAGAGGAAGAGGACCACAACAGGCGTGCAGGATGAGGAGATTGCGAGGAATGCTGGTTAAGTATTTGATATTTAATAATTTATCCGACCAAAATAGTTTTGAAATTTGTATTTTTTTTATTTTAATGAAAGTATTAAAGGTTTTGAACATTACTTATTAACCACATATTTTTTCAGGGAACAAGTACTGACACAACAACTTTTATATAATATGTGGGCACGAATATACTTTTGTGTCAGTTCAAAAAAATCTTATTACTTTCGAAGTGACTAACATGTATTAAATAATAGTGAAATAGAGGGGCGTGGGTTGGCTCTGGCTGTCTACATGAAAAATATGTTGGTACAAATAAAATAATATTATATTTGTGCCTAGAATTAGGAGGGAAGACACAAAATATGGTGTCTATTAACAAAAAGATGAAACAACGAATTTTCCTGTTTGTCGTGAAAAATGTTGTCAGCCAAAAGTTTTTGTGTCCATTATTTTCTACATAGGGCACAATACGTGGTGTCTTATGTGAAATAGACACTGTGTCACCTTATTGGTGTTCAATATACAATAGAGACAAATACCTCATTTGTGTCCTTCATTTTGTACCCAAAGCCTATTTTTCTTGTAATGTTCATGTCATCTACTAGAAAATACCAATAGTACGTATGATATCTCTCTTTCATTCACATCCCATGCATACATACACGTACCATATGATTACTTGATATATAGTCTCCATATATGTGTTGTATTTGCATGTGTGAAGGTTAAGTAAAGTGGCAATAGAGTGCAAAATGATTAGTTGGGAAAAAGAAAAAGAAATAGCGTGGAAATAAGAAATAACTTGAATTGATATCAATTAATTATACAGAGCTAGAGTAGAGTTGCATGCTATATATGAATATGAAGGTTAATTACACTAACATCCTTTGAGATTTATCCAGTTTTCACAAAACCTCCTCACATTTGAGACATTACACTAATACCCCCTCAGGTTTTAATTCACTTTCACATAACCTCTTTAGTCAAAATTATGCTAATAAACTGACAACTTTACCCTTATAACTAATACTTAAACAATAAAAAACAAGCTTTATAATTTATACAAAAAGTAAATTAAACATTAAAATAGTATCACCATCTTCATCTTCTTTTTCCATGCTAAGAATGCTTATGAACGATGGGATTCTACTTCATAAGCATTCTGCTTGCATCCATAAGAAAATAATTAACAGTAACAAAGTTTCAGTTTCATGAAAAATTACTTTGATATGCCAAAACAAGTCAAGAAGCGCAAGAGGAATCAACTGAATTTGCTACTTGTAATTAAATTTCTTGTATTTTGGTCTAATTCTATTATTTCGAACCAAAACAATAAGCAGATGGTTGCTTTTCCTCCTCAAATTAATTTCCAAAGAAAAGAGTAAAACGAGATTTCTTGAAGAATAATGGAGCATAAACCTACTGAATAACTTATAGTTATCATAAAGTTCATAACCTTTCTGCCTGTAGAGCCTTAATGCCCCTCCCATTTTGTAAAAGTTCTAATATCATTGCATTCCAACTTATTGTATCCCTCGTTAGCATCCTCCTACACACCAGACTGTTGTCTTCCAAATTCCCACACTTTGCATACATGGTTGAAAGAGCACTTCCTATTGGTACTACAAGACCAAACGCATACTTGATGGTACATGCATGGATTTGCTTTCCTTGTCCAAAGCACTAAGACTCGAACAATCTTTGAGGACGCTAGCCGTCGTTCATAGGGCATCCTTCCCCTCCCTTTTATAATGTTTTATTTATTTATTTTTTAATATTTTCTTTTCTATGGAAGAGACTCTAAGAAAAGACTTAGAGTACTTCGATCTAAGGGAAGACGTGACACAAAACCGAGCACAATGACATTCTAGGATTCATACAGCATAACCCACTTAGTGGGAAAAGGCTTTGTTGTTGTTGAATATTTTATTTTCTATATAATTATAAAGACTTTCTTTATTGTTCAAGTAATTAACTATAAGGGTAAAGTTGTCAATTTAATAGCAGAATTTTGACTGAAGGGGTTATATGTGAAAGTGAATTAAAACTTGAATGGGTGTTAGTGTAATGTGATGGGGTTTTGTGAAAACTCAATATACGTCAGGGAGTGTTAGTGTAATTAACCCATGAATATGAGGTAAATATTGCATGAAATTGTGAAGACCAAAACATGTATTAAAAAGTATCATTTTATGAAAAGTTGGTTTAAACCCAAGAGAGAAGCTAATGAGACTCTCTTAAAGTGAGGCTCCCCACTCTCCAGCATTTTATGTTTTTTGCATAATATTTTATAAGGAAATGCTAATGAGACTCTTTCAAAAATGGGACTCTCTATAGACTCTCCACCACCTCACATATTTTTGGCACAATTCTCGTGTCCACATTATAAATGTGAATAGCCAGGATACTGGAATATCTAGAAAGGCAATTAGGGAATCAGTCTGATTTTATCTCTGTTCGTTCCGTTTGAAGAAAGGAAGGATTCCAAAGAATCCATCTTTCTTTTAGTTATAATTGAGCCATGAAAACACTAAGTTGCACAAAAAAATAGTTTTTGCGTCAATTAAGCCCAGAAGGGGGTTTTGTAAGATTTAAAGGGTCCATTAAACGCCTCATGGCTATGTCATAATAGATCCGAACACTTGCCCAAGGTGAAGAGTCAAATCGTTTGGCAACTCCTCGCGGGGGTATGAATCAAGATAATTTTGAATCAGAGCCCTAGATTTTTGCTCATCCATCATTGTAATAATATCTCAGTGTTTATAGTGATAACTTGGTATATCTACTATATAAACCATTAACTAAAATATGTCTATGGTTAACTAATTGGCGGGCTTGAGGAATAGTCGAAGCCATGCCAAAGGTGGCGGTGAGTCTATGGAGAGTTCTACCTTGAGAGAGAAGAGTCATACTTTTGAGAGATTCTTCTTAGCATTTCTCTTAAACCCATCATCATAAACATATGCATTCTCAATTAACGTGTAGTTAATGGCTTGAATCATTTATAACACACCATCAATAAGTTTTCCCCTACAAAATTCAAAATTTTTATTTTCTTCGTCTTCCTCGTCAAAATTTCATGTTCTTCACCTCTAAAATTTCTATGAATTTCATGGCATTTCTCCTTCTCCCACAAAGTTGGTGGTGCTTTTCATATATGTACCTTGTTAAAGGTTCAAGTGTCGTAGCAATTCACCTAGCAGCCTAGCAAGGAGAAGTATTTTATTTTTTGGTAATTGTTATTTTTTCGTACTGTAGGTAACATAATCTTAAAAAATTTCACTCACTTACATGTTTTAATCATCTTGATGTTGTATCTAATATGATTTTTACGTCTATTAGCAAGGTAATATAATTTTTATATCTATTAACATGGTCATCAATATCGTTCCTATTAATTAGATAATTTCAAGAATGTACAAGGGTTCTTTTCATTTTTACCTTTTGATTAGGTAGATTATGTTTATATAATGTTGATTATACTAGATGGTATGAAAAATTCTTCTACGAGAGAATATTTGTGCATATATTCTACGTTCACAAATTAATCATATGCTCATGATTTAACTTCATCCCTTGCATCCAACTTAGGAGAGGCATACTTGAACTTGTGTATGCCCCTTTACAAAGTTGCAATGAAAGTCGACTGGGATACCACCAAGGGCATCTTAAATATCAATCGGGCACTCTTGACTGCTAGCATAACAAAAGGATGGGAAACTGTCCTTCGCGTTGCAGCAGGAGCAAAGAACAATATTCAGATTGTGGGGGAACTAGTCAAAATGATGGATGAAGAAGACTTGGCACTAGTCATGACATTAAAGGAAATACGGCACTGAGCTTTGCCGCTGCAGCTGGAATTGTAGAAATTGCCGAAATTTTGATATGAAAAAATAGGTTCTTGCCAATAATTCGAGGTGGCGAAGGAATGACAGCACTTTATATGGCTACTTTGTTTGGACAGTCTGAAATGGCATCGTATTTATACCCTAAAACGTAGAAAAATGTTAGATGAAATGAGCCGTAACGCTCTTTTTTTCTGTTGTATCGATCATGGTCTTTATGATAAGTACTTGGAACTTGGACTTAAACATTAAACACATCTTTATTTCTTAACTATTCTTCTTTTAAAAGTTGTTTGAACTCTCTCTCTAACCCCTTCCTCGTTTTTTTAATCTTTGTAAATTGTGCTGATTTAGCTATGAAGTTGCTACAAGATTATAGAACATTAGCAAGGGCCCGTAAAGGCGACAATAAAACGGCATTGCATGCCTTCGCTAGAAAGTGTTCAGAGTTTAGTGACCAAAGCACTTCAGGAATGGGCAACAGACTTATGAAAACATGTGAGTCGATTCTTCTAAAATTATGGTATGAAAATGTGATGAGTTATATAAAAATAAACTTTCGTATTTGATCACCTCACTTTAGTACGAAATTTGCCTATTCTTGTGACCATTAATCTTTTTGTTTATGTTGTAACTTTTTTAACTTACAGTTAAAGTACTCCCAGGCGTGAAGGGTCCTTACAAAAGAAACTTGAAGCAAACTCAAGCCCTGAAACTAGTCAAATGCCTTTGGAAAGAAATGTTGAAACGTGACGACAACGACAAAGTCATGCGTCTGATAAGAGAGCCTTCTGAATTACTATTTGACGTAGCGAAAATAGGAACTTATGAATTCTTATCTGTGCTTATTGACTCTTATCCTGAATTGCTATTGGAATATGATGACAACAATCGAACTATCTTCCATATTGCAGTCTTGCATCGTCATGCAAGTATCTTCAATCTAGTGCATGAGACAGGCTCCATCAAAGATATCATAGCAACATTTACTGATGATGAGAATAACAACATTCTACATCTAGCTGAAAAATTGGCACCTTAAGACCAACTCAATCTTTTGTCCATAGCGGCTCTTCAGATGCAGCGAGAATTAGTATGGTTAGAGGTATGATTAAAATTCATCTCATAATCAACTTTAATCCGTCTTGCCTAGAAAATTCTTGCCTTCTTTGATTTCATTATCTATCATTGATGTGGCAGGAAGTCAAGAAGATTGTGCAATCTCCCTTTATAGATATGAAATATAAGCAAGGAAAAACACTTCGAGAATTATTCACTAGCGAGCATGAGGATTTATTGCACGAGGGAGAATTATGGATGAAGGACACTGCAAATCCGTGCATGCTTATTTCAACTATTATCGCCACTGTTGTGTTTTCAGCTGCATTTAGCATCCCAGGAGGTATAGCTGATAATAAGGGAACACCAAATTTCATAAAGGAGACATTTTTAATCTTCGCTATATCTGATGGAGTAGCACTCTTTTCCTTCTCAACTACAATTCTCATGTTCTTGTCCATCCTCAAGTTGCGGTATGCTGAAAACGATTTTCTTAAATCCTTACTGTTGAAGTTGATGATCGGACTCACATCACTCTTCGTTTCAATAACATCCATGATAGAAGTTTTCAGCACAGCCTTCTATTTATCTTGTCACTATGGATTAAGATGGGTTCCGGATGTTATATTCATATTTGCATTTGTTCTAGTTGTTTTGTTTGCATTCTTGAAGTATCCTCTCTTGTCTGACATATTATTTTCGATATATTGTTCAAGTCTTCTGTTTCAGCCAAGGAGAGATATGATTTAATATGAAGAACGCTCTAACTGAAATCTTGCCTCCACAGTGATGTCGATATATATATATATATATGTGCGCGCGCGCGCGCGCGCGAGCGTGCGTGCGTGTTCTATCTTAGAGTTGTGATTAGATAAGAATGATCTATATTGACCCAAATATATGGCACTTAAATTTGGTATTTCTAAAATTTGGGAAAATTGACATTTAAACTTTTTAAGTTTTGTGCAATTACCAGTAGAACTATTTTATTTTTATTTTTATTTTATCTTATTTATTTAATTTTAACCACCCAAATTCAGGTTGTGTAGCAATTTGGCACCCAAACTTCACATGGTACCCCTTTAACCTGAGTACAGAAAACCAATTATGGATAATACTCCCTCTTATGGAGATACACATATCCCCATTTGCGAATAATGTATTTTGATCATACAAATTCAACGACCGGAATGGTTCAATCTTTTATGATGTTGTTGACCCTAAAAACTACCAAGCCTACTTGGCGCGCAGGCCGAGTAATCTATAAGCTAACTACGTCCTTCAGTTGAATGCAGGGCGTGCCAACTCATCGGTCGAGCTTGGCCGAGGAATAAAATTTGTTAATGTTGTGTTTGGTGCGTGGCTAACTTCTGCGTCTTGCGATTGCGATCGAGGAAGGAACATGTCTCGGCCTCTTGGGTTCTCAAACCTAAAGACAAGGCTACTATTCTTATGAAGTTCACGAATCGTCGTCGTTGAATTCGGTCACAGTGATGGTATTCGTCAGAGTAAACTCACGTCGAATCGACACCAAAGTGTAAGGGCACAAATACTCAAAGCGGATATAAGTCTTAATAGTGAACGTGGTTCGGCCGTCTGAATGCCGAACTCTAAATCCCACTTGAGAGTATCCAATCATAAAATAACTCGGCGTGCAATGCGCCGAGCTCAGTAAGCTGTAACATCTCACTTCGCAAAGAAGGCTAATGAGATGACCTCGATCAATAAGGATTCGAAAACCCTTCTCGACCGGGACTTGGATAGGTAACCAACTGCCCTTGCCGCAGTGCTGTTGATGCCAACGGAAGATGTTGCGAGATCGGCTGATTCTACAGCGACAGAGCTATCTATGTCGATTGAAGATATCACCGGTTGCTTTGACAGTGCTGTTGATGCCAACGGAAGATGTGTCAGTGAAAAGAGAAAATAAAAATCTCAAAGTTGTTGAGAGAGTTTGCACAGGATAGTTGTGTGTTGAGTTGGAGGAGGTTGAACGATGCACAACCTCCTCTATTTATAGCACCAGATACCTTCTAGGTCGAGTTAAAACCCTACTCGGATTAGGACTTCTTCTCCTAATCAAACACCACCTCGACCAGTCCTACTTTCACTATGATTTTGAACCCAGTCCTTTATCAGGCTGGATTCACTTCCGGGTTATTCATATCCATATCTCGCCGAGACTCCTTATTGTGCCAGGGTTCGATTACTCGTCTTACAGCACAACCAACCTAGGTTTGGAAGCCCACGAACTAAACGATCCATGGTACCTTTGTCGTAAGGCCTTCTGGGCCGAGAATGATTCTATACTTGACCCAAACTAATATTTTGGGCCCAAACATTGCCCCCTCGCTTCTGAGGTCTTTGACTTAAATTCTTTGATCGAGCTTCGACCTTGAAGAAGCGAAACTAATACTCAAAATCCAAACACTATTCCCAAGGCGCATTTATGGAGCACAATTTGCACGATCTCGATCTTGCTGACCAAACCACCACGTGGCATCCTTTAACACGGCTAGCCCCTAATAGTGACGTTTAAAGCGTGCGGCTTACTGAACCGTCTTACCATCATGACCTTGTTGCTGAAACAACCATGCCACCTTGATCTGCGAACCATTCAACATCGTGCAAAACGTCTTTCACCATAAATCTTGCCACCACACGCAATCGTGTGCCCCCAAAACACGAAACCCTCAGTCTTCTCAACTGGATTCTTTAAATGTTCATAATGATTAATGATTTCTTCGGTCGATTTTACCCTTCATTTTGAATTTCAAATGATTGCCCTTCTTTCCACAATTCTGTAAATACCTGGCTTTCTATTACTCATCCTTTACGCTTTCAAAATCTCTAAACTCTCCCGTTCAAAGACCTAAAGGAAAATCCTTGAATTCTTCAGAAAACCTTTCAACCTTTCAAGATTATCTTCAATGGCCTCATTTTTCTCCGAACTTTCTAAAGAATGCGACAAGTGCGAGACGATCATCGATCAATGCTCAATCAAGACTCTGCGTTTTGAAAGTGACATGAGCACCACCTATCAGATCCTTGGTCCACTTTTCAAAAAACGAGTGCCATCAGCCATCATTGAACTCTTCAAGGAGCAATGTCTAACATCCCTTCTACAAGGGTTTGAAAGCTTGAGGTGGGATTCAGCAAAACCCCCAGGCTCCTAGCCCTCGACCACTGTGACCTGGGCAGCCTGGGTTGCACGGATGGAAAAGATCTTCGGCGAGCAATGGAAAGCTCTTGGTATTTACGACGCCACTCGCCTTTCGTCCATGGAACTCGTCGTGGACAAGGAGCTTCTTATGGCAGCCTCAAATTTCTGGGGCTCAGCTACCAACACTATGGTCCTTCCCTTCGGCCCCATTGGCCCTACCGTTCTTGATATTATGGCGATCTTGGGGGCTTCCCCTTTCGGCATCCAGATTGACGTTACCCTCTCCGGGTACCCATTGGCCATCGGCCTGAAAGCACTTTTCAACGACCGAGCCATCGAGACGTTGAGCAGGGAGGGTCAAGAACCCTCAAAGGAGGAAGTTCAAAAACTTTATAAGAACTTCCTCAACTACAACACTCTTTACCTCCACTTTGCCAGCCGAGGGGAGAAGAACCTACGATGGGGAGAACGCGAAACCTTCCTTTTCTACTGGTATAACAAATTTATTTGTTGTACCAAGTCCAACAAATGCTTGGTTGAGAACATGCCAGTGGCCGAAGCCCTGGCTAGCGGTGACACCCTGACGCTTAGTCCAACCATTATTGCCCATCTCTTGCGTTGTTTGGCCGAGATGACCATTCACAAGATTGACCCACACCAAAGTGGCCCTCTCTGGGTATTCCAACTCTGGCTGCAGGTTTACTTCGTTAATCTTCGGCTAGAGCTTGCCGGCTTCTCGTCTGCTGAAGCGCTCGTCCTTCAGGTGGCTTCTCGACCACTACCTCTTCACCAAGCTGAAGACGTGTTCAGATACTTCTTTGGCCTTGACGCCCTTTTCGACGATGAATTCTTGATCTACCGTCGTCGTGAATATCCTTTATCTATCAAGCTCCCCACATCAGCGTGGAGTGCAGATGAAGACGCCGATCTTCGTCAATCCTGGGGGTTGTTTGTCCTTACCCGCGACCTTCCTCTTGGGTGTGACCTTCACCGAGAAAGTTGGGAGGTATATCACCCCCAATTCACTACTCGGCAACTCGGCTATCTTCAGGGTTGTCCGGTGCCTCTTCTTACCTCTCGTTCATTGTTGAGCCGGGGACACCTCTATGGCTCTTCAGAAAAAGAGTGCACAGATGCCGAAAAAGAGTTTTAGGAATGGTGTCAGAAATTCCACCTTCGACCAACCATTCCAGAATCTCTTTGTACGGACACTTTCGGCAATTGGTGGGAAGAATATACCCAACATTTTTTCGGTACTCCGGTCGAAGATGTCCTGAGCAAGGTCTTCGGTGGTCGACCTAAAAAGGCTTTTGCCTTCCAATCCCAAAGTAATGGTCTATTTCCACATTCTTCCATCGACTTTGAACTTTACTGATTTGCTTTTACTTTCAGGTAGTCGGTCGCTGAAAAAGGTAGAAGTGGTCACTGCGGCTGTGGCTGAGAAGAAATCGACCTTCTTCAAGAGAGCTAAGACCACTGCACAAGCCTTGTTGAGCAAACAACCTCGCTAAGAAGCCAAGGCGACTATTGACCCCCTTCGACCTGCCAAAGAGGTTAAGAAACTGACGAAGAAGGGAGAACGAGAGATTCATGTTATTTCCAGCTAGACTACGGGGACAACGACTTATAGTGTTTCCTCTTCTGCCCCCGTGCTTCCTGCTTCAATGGAGAGACAGCCCCTTCCAGCCAAAGACACAACCCCGATCCGGCTTGTTTCCAAAGTCGTTGAAGCAGCTGTTGCTTCGTCGGTCAAGGCGCCTGTAGCATTGAGGCCAACTGCTGCACCTATCTTGGAAGGGGCGATCTCCTCGGTTGAGCAAACCTTTCCCAAAAATCTAAAACAAACAGCGGTCATCTAGAAAAGAGCGATGGGGGCGACGAACTTCCCTTGGTGAGTCGCCTCTAACCACGCAATCAACCTCCTTCAGTGTCCGATGCGGTTGTTCAAGTTGGTTATTCGACGGTCGACCGTGGAAAAAGACCTGTCATAGATCCAAAGGCAATGGCGGAAACGTCTGTTCACCCACAGGACCAGGACAAGGTGGTTATTCAAGTCGACCCTACTACGGCCGACCGTGGAAAACGACCCGTTGTAAAGCCAGAGGCAACGGCCAAAACGCCAATTCACCCGCAGGACCAAGACCTCAATATTCCTCATCAAGAAGCCACTTCGGCCTTCGTAAGAACCCTTACTGCCTCTCTTTTGGTTACTTTTCTACCTTAAAATTCTAAACCAGGAAGATACCAAGTGTCAGGTGCCTACCCATTCTTTTCATAAAAAATTCTATGTGTAGAAAGGTGTTATCTATATTTCTTGGCCGCCTCTGTGGCCATTAAACGTAGATAACCTTCATTGGCCATGTGAACTGAGAAGCAGTCTAAGCCACTAGGCTCAGCCATTAAGTTCTTTAAGTTCGAGCAATGAACCTGAAGACATGGCCGAAGTCTCCTCTCGGCAGGTTTAAAACAAAACCTTCTTGTTATGTTCTTTCGTGATATCCTTGAGGTTAAGCTGATTCTTGTGTGCAGCCTTCATGGGAAGTCGAGTTTAAAGCCTTCATGTCAGGCACTACTGGAGCGGCTGGCC